ACGATTGTGAAGTGACGATTAACGAAAGCTCTTTGCTTCATCTATACTCTCAGACATTAACAGCTTAATTAAATTTGCTAACAGCCTTTTCTTTGTCGTATTATAGGGATAGAAAAAAGAATCAGTGCAGTATTTTTGATTGGTCGTCGATGTAGTGCAATTACATACCTAATGACATTTACCTTCTATAAATGACAGGGTATGGCAGTGAGTTTTTAGACGTCAAAAGGCGGTAAGTTGTCACATCTGCTTACACAAAAATTAAATGAAATTTCAATGAAATTTTGAGATGCTTTTGCCAAAGACGAAATTTTGAAGTTTAAACTTTGCACTTGTCCGACCTCAAGCTGCACCAGGAACCATCATAAAAGGTCACGAATCATTCATGGGTCACTGAACGTCCAACGTGCCGGTCAGACGACAAAATACCGGCGCACTGTGTCACCAGTGTCGCCCTTTAAAGCCTGCAACCAGTTACTCCAGTCTGCGCGCACCTGCCTGTGCTGCCTGTCGTCTGGGGGCTCTCTCTCTCCTCTGCAGAGAGAGGCAGGTGCGTCTGGCGGTCACGTGCGTCCAGTCGGGTCATCGCCAGTGACCGCTGGCCAGACATTTCAACACACACACCGACCGCTGCTGTTCAGTGTCTGATGGGCCCGCTGCTGTAGCCTTTCTCATAAAGCTTTGTCTAGTAAAAAGTAATAGTAAAAAGCACGATTTTACTGTTGACCAGTAAAATTTTGTTTCATAAAGCAAAAATTACTTTTACCTGGAGTTGCAAATTTACTAGGTTACTATAGCGCAGTTTTACTGGTGACCAGTAGGAAGATCCTGGGTTGTGTTTCATAAAAGCACGTGCCGTAGTAAAAAAGTCGAATGACGTTTGCTTTCGTGCTGTCAATTTCACCCTTGCTCTACCTTGCAGTAAAACAGCTTAGGAGTTTTGCTTTTAGCTTTAATTGTACTTTATGTCTTAATGCATGCCCTGAGTTTTCGGCATAAGCCTTTTATTGACAAATAACAAACTTCATTTTTTCTTTAAAAACATCTATTGTTGCTAAAACCTCACGATAAATCATATGAAAAGTTGGCTCTCCATCCTGGCAAACTGAACGAGGTCAAGCGTATTTCTAGCAAGCTAATGTGAAGTGGAGATATGTTCAAAACGTTCAAAATGTGAACTGCGATGGATTTTCATTGAAGATGAGACATTAATTGAAAAAGGACAAGACACACGGACAACGGGCTATCACTGAAACATAATATAGGAAGACCCAGTAACCGAAGCATTTTCGATGTCGGCATAGAATAAACCTATAGAGCCTTGGAATAAACGCAAGTCCAACATTATCCTACTACTTGAACCTGAACCTGAAGTGAAAGAAACGTAACTGGTCTTGTGAGTACAGCACAAATACGACGCTGAATACTTTGTGGGTGCTGAACACTTAGATGCAACTTGAAGCAAAATAGCGCTCACCGCCGTGACCATTGATGGTTCGAGGGGCACGTTGGAGTATTTGTCCCCCTCTGCAGCGCCCAAAGGTACGAACTTACGCATTTTTCCTCGCATTGAGAGGGAAATCAACAACTTTTATAAGAAGTTTGATTTAAACAGCACAAATAGGCATAATGTTGAGTATCCATGACAGATTGGATAATGATCAAAGAGGATTAGAGGATTATGTACATTTTTACTCAGCACACAGCCAACGAACAAAAAGTGGAATCGTGATTGGGTTCTTTTTAAGAGCTTTAAGAATCTGTAGCAAAGAATTTGTTCAAGATGAGTTCAATCACATATACGCTTCGTTCGAAAAACTGAAATACCCAAGAGGATTTTTAATTAAACAAAAAGAAAAAGCGGAAAAAATCAAAAATCGAAGAAAGGAGCAAAACAAGAGACACGAGCAAGAAACGAACGAACAGCAAAGCGATGAAGTTAACAGAAGACACGAACGACATGCGAACCAACCACAAGATGATGACACGAACACTGCAAGAAAACGAAAAGCGAACAAAAAACGAAGGTGGATTTCAGTGCCAAACTCGAAGAACATCGACATCATATCAAGAACACTCGAAAAGTCAGACATACAAGTAGCCACTGTGACGGGAAAGAAAATTCAAGAAATAGTCAAACATAAAGAAAGTAGAGAAGACATAAATGATGCCAAAAGTGTAGTTTATGAAATACCGTGCAAGGGGTGCCAAAGAACTTATGTTGGAGAAACGGGAAGGGGGGTTAATGTTCGTTTAAAAGAGCATAAAAGCGACGTAAAATTCCATCGTACTTCAAACGCGATAGTGCTACACATAGAACAATGCAACCACTTACCTGATTGGGAAAATACGAAAATATTAGAAAAGAACATGAAGAAATCTACGAGAAAGATCCTGGAAGCGGCTCATATTATCACACGGGACACATTCAACAGTAGAAACGGATTCATTACTTGGTCATCGATGGCAGCAAAATCGGCAGTTGGCTAGTAAAACAAGAAACACGCGATTCATTATTTTCAAGAATTCTTAGACGGTTACTGCGAATATTTGTGTTGTACCGATTATACATTGTCACAACTCACAGTGATCAAGGCTGTTTAAGCCGAAAGCTTTGTGTATTTTGAATATATTTGATTTGTATTAATTGGTTTATTATTTACATCATTATCCAAATAGGCATAATATATCACAATACGAGAAATTTTTGAAAAAGCAAAAATGAAGCACATTATTGGGGAGCATGCCTCCCCCAGCATATCAAATAACTTCTGGATCTTCTAATGACTTTACCGGTTGGTCGGACGGAGTCATGCATTACATCAGTGATGCCATCCACTGGGGCTATTGTGTGCGACGTTCTCGTATGCCCACCTACAAGCAGCGTTGTAGGTAAGTGACGGTCAGCTACGAGCGGGATCTGCCGGCTATCGAAGTCATGTGCTCAAATAACTAACCGTGCACACTGCACAGTGTGAAGGAGAAGGCCGACGAGCAAATAGCAACTTTGACCGCGGCGCGGGAGCGCCCGTACGAGCTCATATTGGGCCGTACTGGCGGCACGTGGGAGATCTGTTTTCTCGCCCATGTGTTGTAGATACGTAAGTGTCTGTGCGGTTGTGGCTTGTGCGTTTGTTATCTTTGATATAACCATGTGAATATGTATACAACAAAATACATGCAACTGAAATGTGATGGGCATTCTTTAAAGCCACGTACATATTTGGTACGGACTAGGCTAGCCGAGGCAGGGAAATCCAACCCAGGGAAAGTCTAGTCCAATCCAGTGCCCGGGTCTGGGGGTGTTTCCCTTTCCTTGGCATTGCTCTGTAAATGAAGCAGCTACCGAAAATGAAATTTTAGTGACCAGACGAAAGGTCGCAACAAAATAAATCTCCACATTAAAAATTGAGCTCGAGCCAATTTAGGTCAAAATTCAAAGCCAACTTGATTGCAGGGATCCTTAACTTAATGGCAAGAAGCGCACGGAATGCTGAAATATTTTAAAAGTGGGTGTGCCGTGGGGGCCTGCTTTAAAAACTCTGACCCCCTTCCATCGAAAACAATATCTAGTTGCGTCAGCTATCTCTAAATCGCATGATTCATCAAACATTCGCCGGTTCCTTCATGGCATAAACCGATGTTATTTGATAGCTCGTTCGATTATCGATACGTGGATGCTGGTCCCGTGCCGGTCATTGGTCTAGCGGGTCTAGCTACCAAGATATATAGCCAGAACTGCAACGGTGTCTACCGCATTTCGACGGTCAAAATAAAATTAAAAAGATATCTTCCACACGGAGGTCCCATGACTCGTTTTCAAGCGTTACTGAGCTTCGAAATCTTACTCTTTTACTAATTACTTTTCACTATTGTTTATGAGACAGAGGGCAACAGTGATTAGTAAACTTGAAATCACTATTCTACTATACACCAGTAATAGTAAAAAATGTTTATGAGAAAGGCTCAGGTCGTGCGATGTCGCAATGCGGTTGTTTCAAAGGGCAGACAAAGTGGAGTAAATCGCCACTTGATCTCATCACGGCTAATAGAAAAATCACTTTGCAGCATGTCGTCTTATTGTCAAATTCTATCATAAATGTTTATAAGGCGGTCCCTTTTAACCAACTTAGGTGCAGGAAACTTCTCTGTACATTTTCTCAGCTTAAAAAAAATGTAATAGCAGCGAGCTCATGGTCTCCTCGGGAAGCATTTTGACGTGTACTGCGCGGTATAAGCGTCGTTGTCCTCTCTTGTTGAGGAATAATTCGTTATGGCGATACTTACCAAAGACGGAAGACAGGACAGCTGCTGAAGAAAAGATGTCGCTGTTCACAAAATGCTTTTTCTCGATACGAACAGCTGAGTTGAGGTTAGAGACTAGAATCAACTCCTACAGACGTGATGTAGGTTTTCTCAGTGCTAAGTATATACGCAAAAAATGCTTCTGGGCTGCTCCCCTTTTGATTTAGCTTTACTTCTAGCCAATTTTGTCATTCCATCAAATGATAAAGCATCTCGTCTTTTCCAAAGTGTTTCGTTGCAGTTGTTCATCCCGCTCCCCAATAAAGGATCATTGAGCTGTTGACATCAAGGCAGATGTGAGGGTTTTGTCAAGTATTTCATCACTAGACAGATATCCTGTAAAAGTCTTTCATAATGTTTCAAGCGGCTATTCATTTCACGCTTAGACAAAAGAGTGAAAACCAGTGAGTCGACGGGTTTGTGGCCGAAGGCTACTTTGTGGATATTGAATCTGCTGTTATTTTCATATAGGCGGCGGAACGGGGAGGGTTCCAGGGCATCGTGCCCCCTTTGGTTTTTGGAATTTTAACATTAGCCCTATGGGCGTTGCATGGAAAGAATGGGACCAAAAGTCGGCAAAGCCCCCCTTAATTGAAGGTGTTCCGCCGCTACTGGTTATTTTGTTTTCGCGTGTGTGCATTTTCCTTCACCTCTCTCATATCTTCATCATTGTGTTTGGCAAATAAAACCGTTTATGAAAACGAGTTTAGCATATATTTCATCATATCAATACGCACGTTGACACAAACAAGTACAAAATGTGACTAGCCGTTGGGCATGAGCAAGTTTCCACGATATTGGCACTTGATTCACGTCATTTGCTTCAGGTATGTACACTGAGCGAAAGAACAGCCTCGAAGTTCCTGACAATGGTACACAGCGAACGTTTTATCTCTATCGTTGACAGGTGAGCCGATGGGTGTGAAAAGGACCCACCGGCCTCACAGCTACTCGATACATGGGAAAAAGGCGCGGCGCCAAAGGGTGGCACCGCGCACAGGACATCAAGGCAAACACTTTGTTTATGTACAAGTCGACTAGATAAAAACTCATGGAACTTCGTTCGTTGGTTAGTTTGACTGTGCGCCGCTAGATGGCAGTGCTCGCTCACTGGCCGCCGGCCGCTGGACAGCCGTGCTCCTCGTGCTTGGAGAGCAGCGACATTCGACTGAAGGTCTTCTGGCAGCCGGCGCACTTGTACTTTTTGATCTCGGTGTGCGTCTGCTTGTGCGCCCTCAGGTTGGACTTGTCGGCGAACGAGCGGTGGCAGAGGTCGCACTGGAAGGGCTTCTCGCCCGTGTGCGTGCGGATGTGGCCCTGCAGCAGCCACGGCCGCGAGAACGCCTTGCCGCAGAACTGGCACTTGTTGGGCAGCGTGTGCGTGCGCACGTGCATCTTGAGCGCGCCCTGCGAGGTGTACTCCTTGTCACACACCTCGCAGGGGTAGCGGCGCGGCTCGCAGTGGAACTGCTGGTGCTTGGCCAGGCCGGCACCAGTGGTGTACACCTTGCGGCAGCTGGTGCACTGGTGTTTGCCGGCCAGCCGGGGCGAGCTGAGCTGGCCGCCCAGCGGGGAGCTGAGCCGCGAGCTGAGCTGCGAGGGTAGCTGCGCGCCGAGCTGGGAGGGTAGCTGGGCGCTGAGCTGGGAGGGTAGCTGAGCGCCGAGCTGCGTGGGTAGCTGCGCGCCGAGCTGGGAGGGTAGCTGGGCGCCGGTGGGCAGCGGCGGCTGGTTCAGCATGGTGCGCAGAATGTCCGTTCCGGCGGCGGGGCTGGCGGCGCCGGCCGGCGGCGAGCACAGGCCGTGAGCCGGCGACGGCAGGCCCTGCTCGGGCTGCACGGGCGGCGACAGGTGCGGCGGCAGCTCGCGCTCGTACGGCTGCACGCCGTAGCCGTACTGCGGCGGCGGCTGGTGGTGGTGGGGCGGCGGCGGCAGCGCGTACGGCCGGTACAGGTTGGCCGGCAGCCGCGGCCGCTCGGTGCTACCCGGCAGCGGGTAGTACAGGCTGAACGGCACGTAGGGTGGCAGCGGCGCCGGCGCCGCCGGGTGGCGCACGCTCAGGTTCTCCGGCTCCATGTGCGGGCTGGAGAGCGGCCTCTCGGGCTTCAGCAGCGGGCTGCTCAGCGGCTGGTCCGGCTTCAGACGAGGCAGCACGTCATCTGTAACAGAGGAACGAGCACGGTCAAATCTCGGCCGAATAAAACAGAAAAAACGAACACGAGCTCGAGAAATCGCTTTTTCGGTTATTAGTACTGAATGTGCCATTGCAATGCATTGCTCGTCTAAGGTATGACACGTTATTGAAGATAAGACAAGTCTGAGAGCTCGTAAAACTTTTAGGCGTCAGGATATCTTGTATTCATCGCTGCAAAACTCACCGTTTGCTGCCGCGTTGTGGTCCACAAGGGCCAGAGGCCTCTTCTTCAATGGCTTGTGCGACGGGTTATCCATGGATACCATGTTCTGCGCACTCTGCTCGATTCTCACTGTCCTCGCTCTCGTCCTGTCTCTCTCGTTCTCGGAACGTCCTTCCCCCGTCGCGTCTCTGTCCTCACTGAGCGCGGCGGCGCGCCGTCGGCCCAGAAATACCCGGCGCACAGCAGGTGCTGGAGGCTCACGCCGCACGTGCTCGTCGACCAATGGGAGGCCGGCGCGCGCTGCCCGCCGGCCAATGGGGGCGCGCGCCTCACGCGACCACCGGCGGCAGGTGCAGCGCCGTAGTAAAATCATCACCCATTTAACGGGCGCGCCGGCGGCCGGTTTGATCGGCTAATGATGCCGTCTGATAACGGCCGGCCGCGTCGCCGACGACCGTTTTCACGCGCGTACCGATAAACACCGTACTAAAGAAAAGTCGGGAGAGCGTGTGACTGGCTGACTGACTGGGACTGTCAGTGAAATATCGAGCACCCATGACGGAGTTCCCACCGCCGTCGCCGTGATCCTTGACTCCTCCCCGTGCGACCGGCGCGTCGGCGCCTCCTCCACCCGTCCGCCGCCCGGCCGACATCCGCCGCTGTATAGTCGACGCCGACGCGACGCTGCGTCCCTCCCGTTTCCGGCGTCACCCGATCCGTCGGCGGCGGCGGCGGCGGCGGATATCCTCCGCCCTCCGCCTGCCGCCCTCTGCAGCTGCCCGTCATCCATAATAGAAGCGTGCCCGCACCGCCACCATACCGCGCGCGCCGCCGCACTCGCCGCGAACCTGTTTTCGGGGCAGCGAGACGCGCCGGAACTGGACTTCCGCGCGCGTCTAGTATCGGTGGGCGGCGCGGCGGCCGAGCTGCCCCCTTGACCCGGCGTGATGCCGGCCCGGCGGACCCGCAATTAGCAGTGGAGTGGGCGCGCGCGGCCGACCAAATCGGGCCGTGTCGGCGCCGCCGGAACACTCGGCTGGTGTGATCCGCCCGTCCGCCCGTCAGTCACTCCCAGCCAGAGCCCGTCAGCCCCTCTGAAGTAGCCGGGGACGGCGCTAAACAGCACTCAGCTCAGGTGCACTGGGCCTCAGACAGACAGACAGCCTCGGACAGCCGGGAGCCGAGCGGTGACATTCAGACAGGGACTTCTGGATTTCTCCTTGTCCCCTGGCCCTGGTGCAGATTTGAGATGACGCAGTGTTTCCTTGGGTACCGGCTCCGTTTTGAGTTTTATTACTCGGAGATGGAAAGTGCAGTTGTGTCATTGTCAACCCAGACCAGAACTGGTTTGTTCGCGCTGCTACCAAAGGCAGGAATGCCGTCTCTTGCACTCCATTTCGCCCACCGAATTCTCCCAAATTCCAGGCGCTGCTCAATCCATGTCCACTAAACTGTCGAACTATGTGGATGTTGTGCCGGCTCGCCGCGATCCCCGATCCGGAACACTCCAGCGTTCGTCGCAACAAATGCCTGCATCCCGGTCGACAGAGCGCCCCTGATCCAGACTGGTGGCGCAGTCCCCGTGAAGGTCTGCCTCCGGAGGACAGCCGCCGATCCGGGATCAGCAGCGTCGCGTCGGTGAGCCCCGGCTACTCCGCACCACTCCCAGAAGTAAGGCGGCCTTGACACATGGAGCGCGAAAAGCCCAGGAAGCTGCGCTGAGCCGGCTCTGAGCCGGCACGGAGGGCTGGGCCTCTGAGCTGCCCAGAGACAGGTGGATAGTTACACGCCGCGCCACGGCAGCACGCCGCCTCACTCGGTGCCACGCCGCCCGGCACGGCCGTGACGGTCGTGGCGGTGATGTGGGTCAACTGTCTACCCCGCTCAGCTTATGTCCAGACACCGGTTTTCCTGGCGCATCACGCTCGTCGGCTAGGATTCCTGGACAACAGGCTCAGGTTTGGGAGGCTTAAAATGGCATAGGTTATAATCTATAAAGCAGTTTTGAGAAGAGGGGCTTGAGAATCGAAATTTGACGCAGGACAATGCACGGTACCTACTGCTTGCAATGACTCAACACTTCGAGGGAAGCATTTCGGCATGAAAAGAATACAGAGCGACGCTATTGGTTTAGATCAGTGTTGATGACTAGCAGTTTCCACACCTCAAGGATCGTCGAATGGAACTTGTGCTATCAGCAATGGGCATTCCGTACGGTGCTGTCATTTTAGTGTGGTTAGCAGGACGGTGTGGGAAAAGGACCACGGGTCAGGGTGGACCCACAGGTCGGGGGGGGGGGGGGGTGAGGGGTCTCTGCGGTCGCTCCCTCGGAATGTCTGTTGGCCCACCGTCCCACCTCCGCGACCAGTAATGAAAGGCGACCCGGCGACCTGTCCTCTCCCACGCCGCATTCCTGTGTCGGGCGCCGACGCTGTGGTCTCCCGGTCCTGGTTAGGGGGCGCAGTGTCTCGGGACGCTCGACACTTGTTTGACAAACGCGCATACCTGGCCGGCCGGTGGCGGCGTGAATGGTGCTCCGAGGTGTTTGCCGGCCGCCGGTCGGTCGGCCGGCCCAGCCCGGTCCGCAGAGAGAGTGGCACCCTCCAATTTCACACAGGGCCCACTGTGCGCGCCGGCAGGGGCGGATAATGGCGCCGGCTGACCCTTTGACCACACACAGGGTCTGGAGAGCGGCCGAGAGAGGGCTCACAGGCCGCCGCACTGTCTCAGAGGCCCTGAATAGAAACACGGTGTCCGTCCGTCCCATGTCTGCCCGTGGGGCGGTCACAGGTGTATGGCGTTCCCAGGGGTTCCACGCCCGGTCCACCGTCCCGCCCATAGGATGGTATCACCCGTGTTTGTGTGGTGTGGACATTGCTATTGGAGCTAAGATTCGCGTCAGTCAGCAACAATGAATAAATGCGGACTGTGCTCGGGCTTGCAATTTTTTGTTTCCACAAACGGCGCAGCTAAACTTTCTCTAAGCTTTCTCCCGTAACTTTTATATTCTTCATGATTGCAAGCAAGGCTCTCTTTGCAAAACTATATCAAGCGCTTGGGCTTAGTCTAGTCTTCACAGATAATATCTTAAGCTGTCTTATAATAATATAATAATAATAATATCTTAAGCTGATAAGCAGAAGCTGTCATCAATGACGCCATCAATATTTTTGCCTGATCTCAGGAGATGTATGATAAAAAAAAACTTTTGTTCATTAGCTAAGATAATAGGGGTAGCAACATCGGTGAAACGCCGTCAGAGCCTATCATTTTGAGAGTAAGCTAATGCATAAAATGAGTAAATCAGGTTCTGACGATACATTGGCCTTTGCCGTTACGGAACTGGTGGTAAGAAAATAACAAACAAAACACTAAAAATACGAAGTCAATCAAGCCATGTCTTCAATTCATGCTCAACAAATTAATTAACCCGCGCCCCACTGGGGGGGGGGCTATTTATAGCCCCCCCCCTCCCGTTTTTCTGCAATAACTTCCAAACCGCTTGACGTATCAACGCCAAACTTTCAGTACCTTCGGCTGCATCAATTTGACACCTTGTGTCAAAAATTGAACTTCGTAGCTACCATAGGTCGGCCGGAAATGACGTCAGAGTGACGTCATGTTCGTCCGATTTCGACGCAAAACATTGAACCACGGCAATCGCTCCCAAGAGCTCAGTTTTTAAGCTAGATCCAATTTCTTTGCATGAAAGGACTCAGAATTGACCGCGCTATCAAACTGCTATCTCGGATTTTCAAAATTTTGAAAATTTTAAAAATTTTATATAATAATATTCAAAATTTATATTTTTATATTTTTTCAAAAAGTTTTTGACTTTTCGAAAAAAACCGGAATATATGTGACAGAACGCATGATTATGACTAACTCTAGCAAGTTTTAGCTAAAAATCTTCAAAAATGGCCAAGTTATACGCATTATTGCAAAAAATTCACAATTATTAATTTTTCAAATCACTTTTTCAGTACGTATTTGACATCGTACACCAATATAAATGGCACCATCGTGTTCCTGAGCTCAAACTGCATCCAATAGACACCTTTTTTGTTGAAAAATTTTAACTTCAAAATTTGACCTTTTTTGACCTGAAAGTGACCTGACCTAAGCTAAATTCGACTCAAAATGACCTCGAATGACACAGACGACATCAAATTCGAAATCTATGGCCTAAATGGACCATAAAACATGTGTCACGTGACCGATGCATGATATAATATTTTCGTGACCTGTGATGACCTGACCCTGACCTGAAAATCAAAGTACAAGTTTGGTACCCTCAAGGTATCTAGAGCATCTGTTCACGAGTGTGGAAACCAAAAATGAGACTGATCTGACTTGTAAGACGGCGGCCAGAGCCCAAAATGTGAACAAGCCAAAGTGCTAATAATTTTTACTTTGACCTGACCTGTGACGTCATCGGTGACCTCGAGGTCAATGAAATTAGATTTCGCTCGACAGTTTTTCCGGGGCTATCAGATGCCGTTTGAATTTTGACGATCGGCCCAGTAGTTTCGGAGTTAGGAGGGGGGGCTATGAATAGCCCCCCCCCCCCCCCAGTAGGGCGTGTTATACACAGACCCCAGTGGGGCGCGGGTTAACTTTGAAGTGTCGTATGTTTCTCGCACATAACCCTCCCCTCTCTCTCCCTCCCCTCTTGCTCTCCCTCCCTCTCTCCCTCCCCTCTCCCTCTCTCTCTCTCTCTCTCTCTCTCTCTCTCTCTCTCTCTCTCTCTCTCTCTCTCTCTCTCTCTCTCTCTGTCGGCGTCTGACAGTCTCGCTCTCCGGCGCCGGGACGCTGAAAGAAGTCATCGGGCACCTCCCGGCCCGGCCTCTCCGTGTGAATGACGCCGGAAGTGGTGGAGGTCCGGGACGGACCACCAGACCATGGTCTGGGACCACGCCGTCCATCAGCAGCGACCACCTATGGTCCTTCCTTGGAGCGCGTCATAGCACCGGCGGGACGCGTTGTAAAAGGGACAAACTGGGCCAGCCTCTAAATACGGGAGTCGGCCTGTGTGGTTACGGGAATGCGGTAGGCCGGTCTAACCACGGCCTGCTTATCTATATGTTACAGGGAGTATGCGATTTCAGTTAGTTTGCAACGACCCTAGGGTGGTTGTAACCTCCCTGAACGATCAGTTTGTTTGCAACGACTCTAGGGACGTTACAAAATAACTGCTCATTCCGGGACGTTGTAACGAAACTA